CCTCCAATTCTTCATCAAAGAATTATACTTGCCAGCTCAAAGCATAAAAACGAATCTGTTATCTTCTTGCACAGTGAGGACTGTGAAAACTAAAACTATTTAGAGAAAAATCATAAGCAAGTAACAGGTCACCAATGTCTGGTGGATGCTTTACAGCTCATGGCAGAATGCCAGGTGTCAGTTATATGGCCTAACCCTCCTGCAGGAAACAGCTCTCACCTACTGGCCAGGACTCCTCGGGACTGACAAGAACAAAGCTAAACAAACAAACCAAGAGGTCTTTGTCATAAATTGTCCAGTGAGGCTCTTCTTCCCATCCTGCCCTTCTTGGGGCAAAGGGGTGCCAAGAAGGACCTGAAGACGAAGGCACGCCTGCCGTACCCCACCCCAACCCACCCTATCCTAGCCAGCCCTAGTCCCACCTACCCCATCCTATCCCATAGTAGTGGTGGTGCTTGCTGTCCTCTGATCCAAATACCTTGATCACCACTTTGGACAGATGCAACCCTTCTAGCAGCATCCACGCAAAGGCGGTCAGGAAGTAGTAATACAGAAGCACGCCAGCACCTAGCTCGGAGCCTAGGATCAAAGGAACACATAGAAAATAAGCCCCCTCAGGGTGTGAGTCATAGGTGCTTGCTGTTGTCTCAAAATCTCTCTGCACCGATGTTCGGCCGGGTGGGGCGGGGGGTCGAGGTGAGGAACCTTCTGGTGAGGTGACCTCATTTTCTTTCTGGGAAGTCCCCTCTTGCCCTTCTAGTGGAGTGATTTAGGTGGAGCACGTGCCTTAGGAAGTTGCCAATCACTGCACCAGGCCCCTCCCCCAACCAGACACAGTGATTGGTGATTGGTTCAGGAGAGGGCAGGGACTCAGGCCTGGCCAATCAGCATAATCATCCCCACCCCTGAAGCAGGATTGGCTGGCAGGCGCAGGGCACATGACCCTCCCAGTCCAATGGGGTGGGTTCTGAGGTGGGCTGAGCTGCCAGGGAGTCAGTGAGTGAGACAGAGGCTTTGGGCCCAAGGGGGCAGGGCAGCAACCAATGGAAACAGGAGTCCTTTGTGGGGAAGGCACCACAGGCCAGCCAGGACGCCAGCTCACAGTAAGTGTGGAGTGCTCCTATTTAGTTCAGACCTGAGGGAGGGCGCTGATGTGGGGGTGGGGGCGGGGGACACAGGACACCACGCCTGTGTCCATATGGGACCCAGAGATGGTTAAATTTGCTTTTTGGAACTTGGGGAAAGCCTAGAAAACTAATGTTCTAATTCAAACAAGAGACGGGGACACAGGGCAGGGGTTCTGTGCCTGGGAAGGCCCCACAGTGCCCTGCTCAGTTGCAAGCACAGAGACAGCATGATTTCTGTCAGATACACCAAGCCCTATTCTTACAGTATTTACCAGTCTGCTAATTTTCAGGATAAAAATGTGCACTTGATACCTTGGTTTCCTGTTTGGAATCACGTTTGGTCATGAAGTGCAGATAGCAAATATACACAGTCCTTGTCTTTGTGGTCCCTGCACCAAGTGGCCCCATGCCTTCTAGGTCCAGCTGCTCCTTCCCTGTGACTCTGCACTGGTTCCCTGTTCTCTTTGTTTTCTCCCTTCTCTGGGTTGCCTCTGAGAGACGTGACCACACTCTTGGACACAGAAGGGGGTGGGGATGCTATGATCATGGTGTCCCCACCCCTAGCCGAGAGGTGAGCGTGCACTCAGGCTGTCACTCGCTCACATGAGTCTTCATGAAATGTTCGCTTTTTAGCATGAATAACTTCAATCCATTTTCAAATCAACCTTCCCTGGCGACAAATAGATGTGACTTGCTCCCACGAAGACACCCACAGACTTTCTAAATCTGGTGTCACCTCTATCGAGCGGTGACAGGTTTGGAGAAAAAGTTATATTTAATCACAAGTGACTCCGTGACTTTATTTTTTTAAACCTGTGGATTGAACCATTTTACTTCCTCCCTCTCCCCCACATGCTCACAAATACACTTCCTGCTGAACTTTTACCCCCCATCTGCCCACTCCCACCACCCAGCACACCCACCCACATCACAGAGGAAGACAGCTTGCTCTTTAGTTCTCACTGTGTAATGGATCCAGAGGGGGAAACTGTGCTCCAAGGTCATCCAGGCTCCCGGTCATGGTCACACAAGGACATGATGCCACCTGAGCATAGGAGGCAAATGACATCAGGCGTGAGGGAACTGGAACATCCTGCAGCCACCAGCACTCCAGGAGCTGGAGGCAGGAATGTTCCAGAATAATGACTGCAGAGCCTGATCTGAGACTCAGTCTCCAGACACTTTGTCAGTGCTGAGCTTTCACCGGCACTCCCTGCATCCACCCTGGGCTGGCATTTCTAAGATGTTGATGCCCAGAGGGGGACATCCATGGAGACCTTCTGACCTTCCTCTCTAGAGCACGGGCCCCCAGGGTGGGCTCAATCAGATGGCTGCAAGGGCAGCCCTCTGTGAGGCCCTGCCTGAGCCTTCAGGGCCTGTCTGCCCACCTCCCCCCATCAGCCTGGGAAACCCACAGCAGTTATGGTGATTCATAAACATCTCTCTGATGGGAGGTTCCACATGGGGCCTAGGCAGCTGCTCCTCTCGGGAACCCTCAGGAGCTGTGAGCCCAGGAACAACGTCACCCAGACGGACCAGTGACCCTTGACTCCTCATGGGGACACAGACCCAGAACAAGCATGTGTGGGGAGAGCTGAACCCAGGGAAGGCTGAGAACCAGACCCATCCCACCCACAGTCAAGGGCCCATTTCCTCCTGACCTGACCTGATGGTCAGTGCCAGGGAGAGCCATGCCCAGCCCCGGGGACACCCAGCACACGTGGGAGATGACACAGTTCTGTGTGACCCTTAACACAAACCAGAGCTGCATCACTGGGTCACCCTTTCCAAGGCCAGCTGCAGGCGGAGCTTCGTCACAGCATAGGGTGGGGTATAAATTTGCCTGTCCTCACTCATAAATTCCACCAGTGGCACTCCAGGGGTCTTCCCCAGCTCCCACCTCTATGCCCAGACAGAAAGACAACTGAAAACAGCAGCTACTAATTTCTGAAACCATGGTGTGTGTGTGTGTGTGTGTGTGTGTGTGTGTGTGTAGCAGAAAGAGTCAGACTTGCACTTTGGAGACAGTTTCCTGCCCCCTCTCATCTCCACCAAGGACCCCCACAGGCTGCGGGGTGGGGTACGGACAAGGTCAAGAAGAGGGCGGGGAGGCTTCTTCCACCATAGTCCACATGAGGACTGTGGGCAGTGAGGACCCGTCTCCCTGCCTCCCTAATGGAGCTCCAGTGGAGGGTAGCCTCCAGCACATCTGTTTCCCTCAACTCACATATGTCTTGCATTGGGCATACCCTGGACACTCATTTCAGCCCTCAGGTTCAATATACCCTGGGTAGACAGTGCCCATTCTAGGACCCAATACCCACAATCAACCCAGGCGCTGAGTGGGGTCTGGGCATCTGGGATAAGAAAATCCCACACCTCACCAACTAATTGGAGCAGCACTTCTTAAAAAGGGAAGCCAGGATTGAACCCAGTCACACGTGTATCATTTGGGGTTGGGAGAGGTAGACTGGGACACTGAGGACCCACAGGTGCTGTACTTGGACCTTCCCGACATCCCATTCACCCCAGGTTGCTTCTGGATCCTCAGTGTGTGATCAGGGCACTCAAGGGCACCCTCAAAGGCCCTGAACCATGGCCCCCATGCCCTCACCCCATCCAAATGCTGCCTGAATCCCCACCTCCCCCAGCCTCCAGGCCCACCAGCCAATTGAGACCCCTTTGGGCTTGAGTCGGTCAGTCCTGTCTGTAGGCAGATGCATCCTGACCACACGATGCACAGATGGCCCGAGAGGCGCTGACGCACACTTGTTCTCATCCTCAGAGGACGGCTGGGCCTCAGTTCAGATGGACCCCAGCCTCCCGACCTGCCTATTGCCTGCACGTGCAGCTGAGCACAGCTGGAGACGCTAGGAGGGGGCTTGTGCAGGACACACCAGCACACCCACGGCCCTCAGGACCAGTTCAGAGATGCCCATCCAGAGGACCCCATCCTGAAGCCTGGGGAAGGCAGAGTCCCACACCTGCAGGAAACTTGAGTTTTTCCCGCCATCACTGTCCCTGTGGAGTTCTGGGCCCAGGGGCGGTCTGGTGACAGAAGGGAATTAAATTCTAAATGTGATCCTCTGTGATTCCAGACCCAAGTCCTCTCTCCTGTGTTAAACCTCATGGGTCCAGTGTGAGCCCCCCGGCCTCCTGATTCTCACATTCACAGTTTATATTCAGCATGTAAACCTGCAAAGCAGGTGAAGGAAACACGCAAAGAGGACATTGCTTTGCTACTTTCAGCAAAAACACAAAGGAAAAAACTTGTGAGTTACACAGGGATCTGGAATTAGAACAGCCTGCTTAAAATTGAACAGAAGACGTTCTCACATCATCCCCGTGACCCAGGTAACACGAGTCAGGAAGGTCTCAGTGGACAATGTGCTGACATGAGCTACACACATCCCCAGGCTGGTTCCTGCATGTGGCATTTACAGCTGCGATGTCTCAGAGAGCAGAGAGATGGGCCCCAGGGAAGGTGGAGTGCAGGGCAGAAAACAGAAGCAGAAAGGAGGGATGTGTGAGAACGAGGGCAGCTAAGCCCTCCTGGGGTAGGACCGCCCAGGAAGAAGCCCATCCCTGAATGTGCTACAAAACCTTTCATTGTGGCCTCTGCCTGCCCCACCCTCTGCCCAAAATAAACCCCCAAGCCATCCTGAAGAAGCAAGACCTGTCATTTCACACACAAGTGGCCGCTCGGCCTGCTGCCCACATTGACTTACCACTACACGTCTTGGTGATGCTGGGGTCACTGCGATGTGTCCTGGGGACATAAGGAGGTGCCATTGTCATGCAATGGGGCATACATGAAGGGACCATTGTGACGGGGCCAGAGGACACCATGAGGGAAACTGCCAGGACGACAGAAACCCTGAGAGTCCTCAGGACACTAAAACTCCAAGAGATTAAGTGTCCCTCCTGAGGGTACCCAGCAAATGGACAGAGCTGGGGTTTGAACACAGGCCAGATGCTCCAGGGCCAGCACCCTCCCACTCATGATATGGGGAGCTCGTGGACCAAGCAGTGGTTACTAGAGTGGAAGGGACAGGATACAGAATCCAGGGGAGCATGGGGGATGTTGGGATTCTCACCATGGAGCAGGTAGGAAGAAGGATGGATGGAGCTGCCACTTCGCAGGCTGTCTGTGCTGTCACGACTTCCCTACTTGGGTGTAAGGACTTGTCACTCTTCCAACGTTCCCTGTGAGAATATGGGAGAACTGCACCCCCTTTTGTCATGTGGGAACACTGAGGCCCAGAGAGGCAGGCATGTGTTTGGTAGGTAGGGGGATGGGTCAGGGGCAGAGGAGAAGGCAGGTGGAAAGGTCACAGAGCCTAGATCTGAAACAACGCTGAGCGCTGATTGCTATGTATCTTTAAATCAACTGTGTTATATCTATTAAAGTCAGCTCATCAGTCACACCTCCACATTTTAGTTTCTCAGCAGCACATGGGCCTGTGATTGCCATTTTGGACAGCACAGCATAGGTGGAGACCCTGAAGAGTGTGCGCAGAGGGGGCCTGGTCTGACATTCAGGGAGAAGAGACCACCGCCCCCGCCCCCTCAGGCTGGTGCACGGGGAACTGATTGCAGGGGTCTGAGTGGTAGAAGTCGATGGACCTTGTACAGGATCTAGACAAGTGGTGACGGTCCTATGTGACAACTGCCATATGGGGCAGGAAAGTGGCTGGACAGTAAAGATGCTCAAAAGGTATGAGGATTTTCTGGAAGACAGCATATGCAGTTCAGGGCTTTGACTTAACCAAGTGGAAGAGTGGAGCTGTCCTTCTCTTGGGTGGGAAAGAATATGGGTGAGTGGACTTATGATGAAATCACATCTCAAATAAATTATATACTCTTAAAAAAAAAAAAAAGAAATCACATCTCAGTCCTTGAACATCAGGCAGAGGCTTGGCTCTGGAGGTCCGTGGCTCAGGAAGAACAGAGCTTATCAGAAGGAGGGGTCATAGTAGGGAGCTGAGCAGCCAGCATTCACAGTTTCAAGATGGATACCTGTGTTCTGGACACAGGAACATTCTGAGCCTCACGTTATCCATCTGCAAAATGGGGTGAATAATTCCTGACCCTTCTGCCCTAGTGGGAATTTTTTAGGGATAAAAGAAGGAATGACACAGAAAGATTTGGAGACTTAACCAAGATAAGACATGAGATAACTCCAAGGTAAGATTATTATTATTTTAACTGGATGTAGTCAAATTTAGTTTTTTATTTTAATGATTTTATTTGAGAATGAAGTATTAATTTATGAAGCATCTGTGACAGTAAATAGACCTCCGTGGTGAAGACTTTTCCTAATTACCTGTAACCATCTGTGATTGATGAGCAGACAGTGGGGATGGGAGGAATGTAAGAGCAGGCATCATTTAATCACATCTCCTTGTAAATAACTCAGGGGCTGGGGCCACTTCTGGGACTGGAGCAGAGTCATCTTTGCTTATGGTGGTGCATATTTTCTGTCTCTACAGGAGACAAAGATGAAGCCAAAGAGCAGGAGCCAAGGGGGCACCAAGAGGTCCTGCTTCCAAGCCGCTGTCTCTATAACCATTCCATAAGGGCTATGTCATCTTTCTAGACACTTGGGCCAATACAGACCTGGAGTGCATTCCCTTTACCACCTTCTTGCCAAGCTGGGTGGATGCATTCAAAATGTTTCATGGTCTTTGCTATTATACAAATCTTCTCAAGCTAATTACCCAGGGGTGGGCAAGGGGTGGGGAGAGTTAGGTAGTTTTTTGTTTACAAAAGTAGGCAAACAAAATAACTATATATTATGCTTGGCCCAAGGCTAACTTTCTAATTAAAGTAGACTTGAGTTGGATCATCAAATAAAAGTGAATAAATGATCAATAAATAATGTGTGCACATACGTTCAGAGAGGAACAGAAGGAGGTAAGATGAGACCCAGCAGAGCAATTGCCAGCCATTAAATGAGCACAGGGTGCAGGTCCCAGAAGTAGCGAGGAGACGGGGAATGAAGCCAGAAGTGGGAAGTGAAGAAGAGGGGAAATGGGTCTTGAGTCTTCTAGGAGGCAGGTGTGTGTTTGTTTAAGAAATTCTCTCTGCCTGGCAGTGGGAGCTAATGTTTTCTTCTCTTTCTTTTCCTTCCTGTAATAAATGTCTGCTCTGAATCAGAGCACAGATCACAGGTCATAATGGCTCAGTCGGGGTACATTTTAGGTCTAGTGTACTGTCCTTTAGGACCTGGCTGTGAGATGGCCACCAAAGAGAAAAAATCTGCCCAAATTTGGATAGATCCCTGACCTCAGGCAAGTTGTCTCCTGGTAAGCAAGAACAAATCAACCGAAGCCTGTGTAACACAAGGTTTCCCAAGGTGTCAAGGACTCAAGGATACAAGGTGACCTTCAGTCACCCCTCCCCCAGAACCCTTTCTATCCTCCCATCTCTCTCTCAAATTCCTGGCACTCACCTGTCGACTTCACCCCTCTGTTTCCTCCTCATCTCACCAGATGGAATTTTTTTTAGGATTTTTAAAAAATATTTATTTATTTGCCTGCACCAGGTCTTAGTTGCAGTACACAGGATCTTTTCCTGCTGCAAGTAAACTCTTAGTCATAGCATCTGGGATCCAGTTCCCTGACCAGGGGTTGAACCCAGTCCCCCTGCATTGGGAGTACGGACAGAGTCTTAGCCACTGGACCACTAGGCAAGTCCCTAGATGGAATCTTTCTTAACAACTCCCTTGAAGATGAAGTAGTTTCTCAAGCCAGGTTGGGCATCGGCCCTATCCATGGTGCTGAAATCTATGGGAAGACCTGGATGGAAAACGGTGTTCCTACTCCACGGTGAACACATGAGAGAGGATTCAGTGTTGGAACTAAATGTTATTTTAGTATTTCCCTCATGCCTTAACTCCAACCGGTAACAGCTTGAAAACACATAATTGAGAGAAGATTTTCTGTCTAAAAAGATGCTTCTGAGCTGAAGCCTGGGAAGATGGTGACTTTATCTTGAATATCCACAGAAAATAAAGATTCTGAGACATAATACATCTCTAAATCCATTCAGGTGTCTGAAGAGAGTAAGACAGATGACAGCGGAATGAATGCTAAGGGCTTATCAATCAACTCAGCAAGTGTTGACCAAATCTCCTCTGATCAACCACTGTGCTGGGCATTTGAGTGCTTATAAAGAGATACAAGGAGTGGTTTTAAATCTGGAGAGTTCTAAATCTATAAGGAGTCAACATTAGATGAAAGGATATAAAAGATAAGGGGCTTTTGACAACTGGCAGTTGAATAAGTTGGCCTGATGCATCAGGACCACAGGGTGGTTGGGGACCCATCGCCAAATCCATCCTCCTCGTGAGCATTTCTCTACTCACAGCCATGGACAGGGACTGGGGGCCAGGGACCTGGACCCAGCAACACCTTTCTCAGATGTCCTGGACAAGGGGAGGGGATGGATTCCCACTCCCCTTGCTGAGCCGGTTCCAGGCACTGCAATGTATTTCCATCCAAGTCTGACCACAGGCCAACCTCAGCCGATGCAAACATGTCAAGAAATTTTCACCGTCATCTTCAGTCAGTATCACCACCTTTGTGCATGCATGAAGAAAGGTTTTATGTTTGCTTATTTGTTTTCCCTCCTCTTTCCCCTCACTGCCACCATAGCAAAGGAGCATCCAGCAATGAGATAAATAAAAATATGGTAATATTTAAAATAAAAGATGAGGGACTTCCCTGGTGGCCCAGTGGTTAAGACATCACACTTCCACTGCAGGGGGCATGAGTTCGATCCCTGGTCAGGGAACTAAGATCCCATATGCCCTTAGCACAGACAAAAAGCAAAGTGGGTTTCCCTGGTGACTCAGTGGTAAAGGATCTGCCTGCCATTGCAGATGACATATGTTCAATCCCTGATCCAGGAAGATCTCACATGTGAGGAGGAGCTAAGCCTATGCACCACAACTATTGAACCTGTGCTCTAGAGACCAGGAGCTGAAACTACTGAGCCCATGTGCCACAGCTGTTGAAGCTCATGCACCCTAGAGCCCCTGCTCCACAGCAAGAGAAGGCAGCACAGTGAGAGGCCTGCACACCACAACTGGAGAGTAGCCCGCACTTTCAGCAGCAGGAGAAAAAGCCCATTCAGCAGAGAAGATCCTCCACAGCCCAAATGCAAAATAAAATTATAAAAAAGAATATTAAAGATAAAGTCACATGTATTATGGGCTTCCCCAGTGGCACTAATGATAAACTTCTTGACAGTGCAGGAGACATAAGAGATGAGGGTTTGGTCCATGGATTGGGAAGATCCTCTGGAGGAGGGCATAGCATCCCGCTCCAGTACTCTTGCCTGGAGAATCCCATGGACAAGAGGAGCCTGGAGAGCTATGGTACAAAGAGTCGAAAAGAGTCGGACGCAACTGGAGCAACTTAGCACATGCACAGCACATATTATAGTACTACCACCAACTAATCGATAAATTTAGGAAGTAGCTGATTTTGCCAGGCTGCTCTTCTGAGAGCTCACTATCATCTCCGTCTGAGTGAAGCTTATGATACGAGTGTTAGCAGGAGAGCTTAATGTGGGGCACGGTTTCCTATCATGATGCAGTACCTCTGTTAAGTTTAATCTTAACATTTACTTTTGTTTCAAGAGTGTGCTGGAGTTTTGAAAGAGGATCATCCATGAGCAGTATAAATCTCAAGAAAATTGTAAAACTTTAGCCAGACTCATTAAGTAAAACAGAGGGGAAAAGTAAGAGAAATGAAAGAGGAGAAGGTACTACTGAAACCACAGAAATACCAAGTGTTTCTTAGTACAGGGTACTATGAATAACTATGCACCAATAAAATCGACAACCTAGAAGAAATGAATAAATTCCTAGAATTTGTGGTCTCCTAAGGCTGAATCAGGGAGAAATAGAAAATATGAACAAACCAATTCTCAGGAATTAAGTTGAATACGTTAAAAAAAAAAAAAAAAAAAACTCCCAACAAGCAAGTCTAGGGTCACAAGGCTTCACAGGCGAATTCTACCAAACACCTAAAGAGTTAACAGCCATCCTTCTCAAACTACTCCAAAAAATTTGAGAGGAAGGAGTGCTTCTGAACTCATTCTACCAGGCATCACCATGATACCAAAATCAGACACAAATATCACAAAAAAGGAAAATTACAGGCAAATATCACTGATAAACATAGATGCAAAAATCTTCAACAAAATATTAACAAATCAAATTCAACAATATAGTAAAAGGCTCATATACCACAATCAAACTGGATTTATTCTAGATATGCAAAAATGGTTTAATATCCACATATCAATGTGATACACCACATTAATAGACTGAAAAGTAAAAATTATCATCTCAATAGATGCAGTAAAACCTTTTTTGCCAAAAAAAAAAAAAAGTTTTTTTGTTAAAAGCTTTTTACAAAAGTCACATCCATGATAAAACTAATAAAGTGAGCATGGGGAAACATACCTCAACATAATAAAGGTCACATATGACAAACCTACAACCAACATCACACTCAGTACTGAAAAGCTGAAAACATATTCAAGAGCAAGACAAGGATACCTACTGTTACCACTTTTATTGAGCATAGTATTGGAAACCCTAGCCAAAGAAATCAGAAAAGAAAAAGAATAAAAATAATTCAAATTTGAAAGAAAGAAGTGACTGTCACTGTTTTCAGATAATGATATTATTTTGAGAAAATCCTGAAGATGCCACCAAAAATCTGTTAGAACTAATAAATTAATTCAGTGAAGTTGTAGGATACAAAATCAACTTACAGAAATCTGTTGTGTTTCTATACACTATAAATGAACTATCAGAGAAATTAAGAAAATAATCTCATTTACAATTGCATCAAACAGGATAAAATACCTAGGAATAAATCTAACCAAAGGGGGAAAAAAACTATACTCAGTAAACTGTAAGATATTGATTTTAAAAATGAAGACAACACAAACAAATGAAAAACTATACCATGACTATGTATTGGAAAATTTTATATTGTTAAAATGACTATACTACTGAAGGCAATCTGCAGATTCAACACAATCATTATCAAAATACCAATAGCATTTTTCAAAGAACCAGAACAAATCATTCTAAAATTTGAACGGAAACACAAAATACCCTGAATAGCCAAAACAAATCTTGAGAAAGAAAAACAAAGTTGGAGGCATCATGTTCCCTGATTTCAAACTATACTACAAAGTTACAATAATCAAAAAGTATAGTACTGGCACCAAAACAGATATATAGATGAATGGAACCAAATAGAAATTGCAAAAGTAAAGCACATATGGTCAGTTAATCTAGGACACAGGAGGCAACAATATACAATAGGGAAAAGACAGGCTCTTCAAAAATGGTGTTGGGAAAACTGGACAACTGCACGTGAAAGAATCAAACTGGACTATTTTCCTACACTATATGTAAAAAAAAAAAGCCTCTAGATGAATTAAAGATTTAAATGTTAAAATGATCTGAAACCATAAAACTCCTAGAAGAAAGCAGGCAGTCTGCTCTTTGACATTGGTCTTAGCAGTGTCTTTTTATATGTACCTTCAG